CATGTTTACGCAAAACAGAAAAAGTGATTACCCTTCAAAGGTGATTTTAGTGATAATGCACTTATAATAAAAATGCGTTTTGAATTATCTACAATTTGATTTACAATTATCTACAATATGAAGAAAGCAAAAATATAATGTTTAAATCGTTGTAACTTTTTTTGTGATTCATATTTTTTAAGAACTCGTACGAGGTCTCTTGGAAATTATGTTTTGTATCTTTATTATTTCAGGTGTTTTATCTCTAAAATCACTTTGAAAGATACCTTTATCTGTTTTGTGTAAACATGATTTTTATCATTAAAAATCACCGATTAGACGTTTTCTCAAGATGAATATTTATATTATAATATATTATAGACGTATTAATTTATGGCATGAAATCTTTAAAACATATTATACAAAATTAACTGTCATCTAAAACATCTTTTTTTAATTTTTATCATCAGACTTCTAGGCCAGTATTCGAAATAAAAGGAGGAAGGTCCCGACCTCCACGGGGACACTCGATTAAGTGATTGCCATAAATCTGGTTCTTCTAATAGTAGTATCGACCAAGATAGCGCGATCTAGTTAAATATACAGAATTTTTTTTTTTTGTTATATCAGTTGTATTATTACAGATGGAACTTTAACAGCCGATGGGCACGCGGTAATCTCGACCGATCGCATTCAAATTTTGTACAGCAAAAGACAAAACAAAATAAAACAAAACAGAGACCATCTTTAAATATACATTAATATATTATACCTATGCTATTACAAAACGTGCGTATTATCATAACCAGCTATCGTGCATATAGGTGTAACTGCACAAGGGGGTGGGCGTGAAGGCGATTATTTAAAACCGTTGTCAAGATAAGAGCACGCGAGAAGCAAGTACAACGTATACACACGATATCTACGCCACGGCAAAATAATGTGGACTACACCACCTATATGCTGTATACTATGTACCTAGGTTTTAGTTTCTTAGTTTATATGTATTACCACCGTTTTTTTTTTGATGAATTGCCCCGCACGCCTTCTCGGGTCGCTTCCTGTGTTTCAGGTAACACCTACCACCCGAACATACGAACGTATAATATTATACTATATTAATATGCGATACTTAATAGCCGTATGTTTACTAATAAATCGTAGCACAGACACGTTCATATGTATTATACGTTATACACCCTTCGCCGTTTGCGATACCATCGCGGTGCCTTCGGGATTAACGTCGACGTTGTACCCTCAAGGTGGACCTATATAATATGTTTTACAAGTAATATATATATATATATATACATTATACTATTATTAGTATCGATAGAAAACCGCTACAGTCAGCCGATATTTAATATATTTTAAGTACCACGTATAGACAACAATCTGGGCACAATATATATATATACATATAATATTATGTTGTTAGGAACTTGGCGATAACAAATCAAGAAATTTAATTTTCCCTGACATAAAACGACGAGTAGGTACATTATTAAATGGTGTCCCGAGTTAGTTTTGAACATTTTACATAATACACTTACTTGCGTCGTTTGTGTACACATGTCAATACAGGCTTGGTCGTTTCTGGTCCGATTGTTTAATAAGTTTCAAAATGTGAAATTCGTAAATATTTTATACATATGTATAGTGATCGAGAATGAAAAAATTCATATTTATTCGATAACAAACACAAACGTTAAAACAGTAAATCAAAATTTGTGGAAAAAATAAGGATATGTTTGCACGTAACGGACGGATTTAATTATCTACTCGAACCAAACACTTTCTGTTTAACAAATCATAGCGAAAAATATGTTTTTTAAAGGCTTTTATGGGTCCTTTGCAGCAACTGCCACGTCTTCACTCTTCCCGTCGTTCTCTACCCTTCGCCATTTCTTCTGGGTTCTCTATTCCCATCAACCACAAGTCCTGATGTACGCCATTGTTGTCTCGTCCTGCTTGGTTTCCAAGAAGTTACTATAACATTTTCCCTGCTGCGCCCTATAGACACATCCTGTCCATTCAATAATTATGCTCTTCGCATTATTGCCGCCAATATAATAATAAATAAAAAAAATGATTATTAGGAGGATTAATAGTTTGAAATGTAGGTATAAGAATCATAAAATACCGTGCCAGCGTGTATGAGCGTTTTCTTGATAACTTCCACACCGTTTGTTACGTTCATGTCAGATCAAATAGTTTGCCGAACACTTTTAATTAAATTTATATATGAAACGAACAACGTGCAAAAGTTATAGGCACAACTTTTAACCCGCCAAAACAACACATACATGTAGCCGTACTTACTACTTTGTACTCGATACGTAAAAGGCATATATGGGTGGTTCAGATTTAAAAATAGTACAGAAAATTACCATTGCAACGTGGATGCAATATCAGATTTAATCAATTGTTTCAGACTTGTGACCGGCAAGTACTTACATTTTTTTTAAACTTTAACTTAATTTCATATAAACAATGCGTAGATTTTACACAGTTTTGCAAACAAATCTTAAACTTTATATTCAATAAATACTAAACACCCATGAAACGTTCGAAAGAAAAAATACCGGTAAATTTATGGGAGAATTACACACAAAGTTCTGGATTATTTGGATTTATTAAGTATCTAATATAATTATTCTATTTATTTGTTTTACTAAACGGACCATCGTCTGTTTGTTGTACTATTATTTCTATATTAACAGCTGTAGTAACGGTTATGTCGAGCGCTTTTTCCCAACGTATACAGTTTTTTTTTAATACTATTTACTATTATATAGTTGACACTGTTAGGTTCTTAAATATCGTTTGTTTTATGACCAGCGCTTTTGACAAGTTTTTATCAACCCTAACACGTCTAGTCGGTCGTCGCCGGCAATATTGTAAAAACAGTGGCACCGGCGCTACCCCATGTGCAGTGTTTAACCCGAATGTATGCGTATTCCGAAGAAACACAATTATTACTATATGCTCCTCTCTTGTCATATAGGCCATAGCCTGTCTATGTGTACACACTGGAGTTGACAAGGAAATAATATGGTTCCTAGTATATTATATTATATAAGCTATACACTCAGTGTAGTGTATACACAGTAGCTGCTAAATGTCGACAACAAGCGTGTACACACTGTAAACAAAATATTACAGAACCGCATGGATTATTCACGGCTAAATTAATGGTGACCGTGTATTTATCAAATAAATAATATATAATTTTCCGGCCGACACGATTTAATAGTATACGCATTTTGTAGGAAATCCAAACGAACCGAGTACACCGAGTTAGTATGGTAGGTAATTTTTAATATTAATCTATTAAAATTATTAAGCTTTGAAGTAAACGAATTACACAACATTACGTGTATTACAAAATGTTATTTTGTGGTTTTTGTTTTAAGTAAAAAACAGCAACCGCTTTGTTCAGTCGGAATCAGTCGCTTTGCACACTGTACGGGGGCAAAAGGGTAAACTATACGTCGTATTATTATATATATATATATATTGTTATATTCTTTTGTTGGCGATTATTATTATATTATATCCGGGGAAATGGCGCGCGATGGTTATATTAAATCTCGGCATTTTGCCCGGGTACAGTTGTCTCCTGCGTATACGGCCCAGGGACGATTCTGGGGAATATATTGTGCGAAAGGGGTAAACGAGGCGCCCTGAGCTATATATATATATATATACAAGTACTACACTCACGGAGAAACCGGAGCAGGGAATCCTTTCGAAATGAACACAAGAGCAGTTATTATTATTATTATTATGTTTTCAACTATATACCGCTTCGAGCGCACACAGAGACACACACACACACACACACGGACATTGTGTTTACCGTTTAGTGTAGGAAATCGCACGGTTTTACCCCATTCGAGGGTGGTTTTCGGGCGAAACGAGCGCCAAGTACTTGCTTACCAGCGCGTTGCAAACGTATTTGATTTTTCGGCCAAGCCAAAGTGTGTGTAATATATATATATATATATATATAATACCTACACTCGAGCGTTCGCCGACAATCTGCCATTTATGTCTCGTTGTCGACCGCACGGCGTTCACAGAGCGTATATTATCGAAACTCTATTGCATTGTGGACTGTGGTGTGCATGAAGATAAATCCGCCGCGTTCGGTTTGCTTAGAATACATCATAAATTGCCATTGTCGGTAAAGCATTGCAAGTACAACCGCCGAGAGTTCACTATACAGTGTGGACACGGACGCGAACCGAGTTATGCACGATTTAATCTCATAACAAATAAAATACTAATCGACGCATTAGTTAATTTAAATAAAATGACGGTATAATTTTCTAGTAGTTTTATAGTTTTAACTGCGTTGCTAAACACTTGTTAGTGAGGTTTTGCATCGAATGAACGAATTACTGAAATTTGTATTCGTGGGTAAAACATATGTATAACGTTAAAACAAATTGTCACAGTTGTTATTATTCTCATTGCCTTGATATACATATTTTATAAGTATACATGTACATTAGTTTTTCATAAAAAGTATGGTTTTAAATTGACTGCACAACTTTTCAAACAATAAAACACACAAATTTTATGTTTTTTAAACGAGACATAAGGACCGTATACAATTATAACTATAGGCAATACTACGTCAGTTGCTAAGCTGGTAAAACACTTCGAGCCTAGATACCGTATCAACATAATTGAATTATATGACTCAAAACATGTGAAGTTGAAAAAGTGTAGGTAATATGTATATATCGGTAGATATATAAAGTATAGGTAGTATCACATTAAATAAATAACGAAAATAATAACAAATAGTTAAAATAATAACGACTATTGTTTCTGTTTGTAACCACAATTAAGTACTACATATAATATCTCAGTCACCACACACTTATAAATAAATAATGATAATGATATCCGATCAATTAAAAAATGTTGCTAAAACAAGTGTTTTATTTAAATAGTCATAAATCATAATGCAATAACAAAATAATATTACGAAGGAACAAAAACTCATGTGTTATGTTAGGCCTAGTTAAGGTCTATAGTTAATTTCTAATAGTAAAATAAATCACAGTGGTAATCTTTGGTTATTAATTATTACTCGTTTAAACAATTTCTTTATAATACCTAATTATATAATATAAACATTTTTTTTTTTTTTTTTTTAGAGATTTTCTCTAAAACAGGCGATTTTCAACCTGTTTATAACGTCGAAAATTATTAATTATATGTTAACACTGTACAAAACGTTTAAAAAATAAAAATCATAGTAAAGCGCAAAATAAATATACTGGCAACTGCCCGTTAAGATAAAAATAAAACAACTTAAAATAATCAGAAGAGCAAAAAAAAAACCGATTCGAATAAAACGTTTCAAATCATCGGTCATGCGTCGTCTCATAAATTGTAAATATTAAAAAAAAAGAAAAACCTAAATTCTGATTTACCTTAAGCGCATTAAGATAGTAAAACAAAAGGTGTGTCTAATAGTAATCCCCCCCCCCCCGTTATTTTGTTTGTTTGGGATTCGTCAAATAGACGTACGTCTGGGACTGTCGCCCTGCAATGGCAACGGTGCTCTTGACGTTCGTTTTGTCGTCGTCGTCGTCTTTTTCTTCTTGTCGGCCCTGATGAGGCTCGAGTGTCTGCTGCGCCGCAGGTTCTTCCACAGGATCATCTTGACGGCGCGCGCGTCGCCCATGTCGGTGGCGTAGTCGAGCGGCGTGACGCCGTTGTGCCGGATCGAGGTGCGGCTCCGGTCGGACGACAATATGGTGGCCATCAGCTCGTACCGGCGGTGCCGGACGGCCACGTGCAGCGGCGACCCGAACGCCTCGGTGGTCATGTTCGGCGAGACGCCACACGACAGCAGGAACGACACGGTGTCCAGGTCGTGCCGGATGACGGCTTTGGCCATGCGGTCCGAGTGCATGAGCTGCGCGGTGACGGTCACGCGCCGTCCCCATGTGTAGACGGACACGTCCAGTGGCCGCGAGGCCGTCAGCGAGTCTCGGGCGTCGATGCAAGCGCCCGCGTTCAACAGCGTCTCGACCAGACCCGCGTTGTTGGCGCGCACGGCCGCGTGCAACGCCGTCTCGTTGTTCTCCGACCGGGTGTTGATGTCCACGCCGCGTGCCAACAGCGCCTTGACGGCGGTCGAATGGCCCCGGCAAGCGGCCACGAACAGAGGCGGTTTCGGTCGGCGTCCACAGTGTAGGGCGGCCAACACGTCCGGTTCGCAGAAATCCAACAGGCATTCCAACATCTTCACGTCACCTGCGTCCAATAAACACAAAATCGGTGTCGTTAACAACATTCTTCTTCTTGTTCACCCTATCCCATTCAGATGGGTCGATCAGCTAAATCCACCATTATCATTTCTTTATTCAGTCCCAAAACCTTCGTGTCTTTATTTGTCACATCTACTCATTTTTGTTGTTGTTGACCTTTACCTCTAAATCTCTCTAATTTGTTTTACTATTTCACTTTCCTCCCTTATTTCAACATGACTATCTCAATTTATTTTCTCTCGTTTATTTTTTCGCTCAACCAAGTTACTCCACACACCCACACAACCCTTGTTGCTTCATTTCCACCTCACCTAATCACATTTTACTTTACTCAACTTATATCCTTCAATTCCATTATTTTCATTATTCTCTCGCATAACTCATCCCAAACACTTAAATTTATCTACTCTATTTACCACTAGGTCAGCAAACATGACCGGTTTTCCGCCTCTTTCTAAAAATCTCCTCATTACTAAAGTAGGTATTCCGTTTTAGACCTAATTATTAGTTTCAAGTCAAACGCATCCCTCCACTGCTTTAATTTAATTCTCAACTTTTTTTTTCTCGCCCACTAAAACATTGTACTTTATCTTTAAGTTTTTTTTCACAAATTCCTCCCTCTTCTCGTTCTTTCATACTTCCGCCATAGAAGACATGTCTCACATGGGTACATGGGGTAACAGCTCCAAGCATGAATGTATAATATCTCACCTGTCTCGCACGCGGAGTGTATGACCGTCCAGTCGATGTCCTCGTTGTCCAGGTCGACCACTTGGGCCCCATGCTCGAGCATCAATTGCACCAGGGACAGGTTGTTGCGCGCCACGGCGGCGTGCAAGGGCGTCTGGATGGAGCCGGGCACGCGGTTGACGTTGGCGCCCGCGTGGACGATGAACCGGGCGACCATTTCGTTTTGCCAGTGCAACGCGGTAAGCAGTGGCGTCCGGGACCTGCAGTCCAGGCTGTTGACCGTGGCGCCGGCCCGGAGCAGCGTAAACGCCGCCATCTCGTTGCCCCTTTTGGCCGCCAAGTGCAGCGCCGTCTCTTGATTACAAGTCTTGAAATCGATCAGCTTTTTCGAACAGTTTTGCAATATCATCGCGAGTATGCGTTGAGGGAATTGGAAGTACACCGCAAAATGTAGGCACGTCCACCTGGGCAACAAAAAAAAAAAACAACATTACACGGTGTCCAATGGCGTTGTTGTATAATATTGTAATTTGCACGTCATACACTAAGTGTGTAAAGATCTTGTCTAGATCATTTTTGCTATCTAAATTGCTCAGTTAAAGATTTTAAAAAAACTAGATTGCTAAATGTCATATTATGCTGGCCAGCAAATCGAGTGAAACCGCTGAAAATCGCTATTTCCATGCGATTTCAGACATATCTCAAAAATTTTTAGTGATAATACAATTTTGTTTTCATTTACCGCGTATAAATTGTTTAAGTGTTAAGACCCACCTAGCCGAAACCTACAGAAATGGCCGATTCAGTTGGCTACTGAATGTGATGCTAAAAGTTAACCTAACCTACTATCCGTTTGTATTTATTTAAACGCAAATAACAATATGTACAAAAACAGTGTATAACATGATCGGCTTATGCATAGTCTGATACCTGAAGAAATCGTGGACCATGGGATTGGCGCCTTTTTCCAATAGTAATTGTGTGGATCTAACGTGTTTGCTCTTGATGGCCATCAGCAATGCCGTGAAACCAGTCACCTCGTCCCTGTACTCCAGTTCTGCGCCGCGGTTAAGTAGCTTGTTCATGAGCACCGTATTGTCCTGCGACACCGCTTTGTAAAAGGCTCTGTTCAGCGCATTCTGGGGAACTTCATAGTTCAACAACAAGTCCAAACACCGTCTGTAATACAGCAGCGAACCATAAAAACCCCAATTAGTAAAATGAAACAAGAAATTATCAACACATCTTTCACCAAATTATTACCAAATTATGTCTGATTAATAAATACAAATATTATAACGAATTTCACCTTACTGACTTTTAAACCATTTTACTTTACATCTAAAATTATACTTATCAAAAATCTCGTTCTAAATAAAACCATTTTGATCTAGGAGTTCCTAATATGCTCTTAAGTCTAAGACGTACAAACAACAATATTTCATCCATTCTCATAGCAACCGTTTTATTAAAAGGCGGTAATGTACTCTATGCAATTAATATGTATTTAGTTGTCAAGGCCAGTTTGCTCGGCCGTTGTCTAGGTACCCTCGATCAACAAGATGTTTTTCGCTTTTGTCGTTTCAAGTTGGTGCTACTCGGATATCACTGCTCAACTTTTTACGATTTTCGCCGTTTAAATACGTTTAATTGTCATTTACCTGCTACCATTGCATTCTACACAGTTTTCTCTACACGCTACAGTCAGATTTTGTTAAAAACAAATAATTCAAGATGCCTGAAAAGTTATCGATCGTCGTTCCTGGTCTTTCCGCTTCGGATGTACTGAGGATGGAAAGGGAAACCGTCAGGAAATGGCTCTTCGATAAACTACCGTTCAGCGGTGTGTCGACAGCTCGAGTCACATTTACTTCAGCTCTACCTAAGCAATTTACTCGGACTTCGGATGAACCGGCACCTTGCGACGTGGGACTTTGGGACGATGGTTTTACATTGGAAGAGCTGCCAACTTTTGATTATGGCGACCACGCTTGGGAGTCGTATCTTCAGAAGTTTGTAGTGACACCCGAAACTTGCCAGAGTTCCCGTCGAGGGTCGATGTGGAAACGAGGTAAGAGAGCCGTAGGCCGACGGCTCAGGTCGTTTAGCCGAAGTGTTTCTCATATTTCTTCTCGATTTGCCAGTTCCTCTCGAACGTTTTTTTCCTCGTCCGAAAACGGTTTTAAATTTGTTCATTGTGATGTTTAATTTTTGTCATACACTTCATTTTTTACTATTATTCTATTTTTTTCAATGTATTCTGGATACAAAGTTTTGTATTTTTGTTAATCACTTATTTTGTTACTATGTTGTTTATTGTATTTTTGTGTCTAACCTAATACGGGGGGTGGTTGTTAGGTTTAAAAAATGTTTGGTAATTAATTTTACTATTATCTTTTCTTTTTTGTAAATGTTTTGAATTAACTTCTTGTTTGTACCTTTCTTTCTATACACTGTATAGTCATTAAGTTTGTTATTGTACGTTTGTATATACATATATATATTTGTTATTGTTTTTTATTTTAGTTTAATAAAAATATTTGTTTATTTCTTTGTACAATTATATTTGCGATTTTTATTTTATTTTATTTGTTTTAAATATGTTTGTGTCAATGTCGGTTTGATGTTATGTAATTTATGATTACATGTAAACATGGTAACGTATACAGAGTAACGTTCTGGTAACTGATAATATTATAGTGACGACATGTGAGATGTATTAAACATTTTTTTTTAAATAAACCTATTTTTTTCTGAACAAAACATACAATTTAATATTATTCTAAAATTATAGCTTTAATAATTTAAATAATCATTTACAAATGACACACTTGGCGCTCCAGCACGTGAAAAATAGGTTTAATTGTGGATGTATAAAGTGGACGGGAGCTTCAGGTGTTGTGTGACAGGAAGATGCCAGTACGATTGAAAGGTGGATTTTATAAAACGGCAGTGAGGTCAACAGTGTTATTTAAATGGGTCGGAATGTTGGGCAATAGACAAGAAAACTGAACAGAGTACGAGTGTAGCGAAGATGGATGAGTTGACTAGGGTGGATAGAATAAGCAATGAATACATAAGGCCGAGTCTAGGAGTTGCATCAATTGTGTGGAAAACGAGAGAGAATATAGTTCGGTTATGTTATGAGGAGAGATTAGGCAGAGGCAGACCGAAGAAAAGATAGAGAGTGATACGAGGATATCTGGGGTGATCAAACGAGATGTAGAAGATAGAGATCCTATATGTATAGGTGTAGGATTAAGGTGGCCGACCCCGTGTAGTTTGGAGTGGTGTAAGGTGAAGAAGCGCCACGTTTGGTAGACAAATACGTATTTATAGATAGCTATTATATAAATCTAAACCGAACCGTACTTTTCGTTCATCAACGTGGCCAAGTCCAACGGCGTGTTGTTGGAGCCGTCGGTGGAGTCCAGTTCGGCGCCGTGGTCGACCAGCAGACCGACAATGTTATGCCGGCAGTTTAAGACACACTGGTGCATTGGTGTCTTGCGGTGCGCGTTCCTGGCGTTGGGGTCGGCTCCTCTGTTCAGCAGCAGCTTGACGATCCGCTGATGGCCGGCCTGCACGGCCACGTGCACCGGATAGTCGGACGTCCGGCCGGAAGGGCAATGCATCAGGTACCGGTTCCACGTTATCATCCGTTTCACCGTATCGTAGTGGCCGCGCTCTATCGCCTTGCGCAAGTCCAACGGCGCGAAAGCTGTCGACCCCGATCGTTTCCGGTAATAGTAAACGCACATCTCCAACGCGGCACACTGTAATGTGTAAGAAACAACAATGTACAGAATATTATGTTCGAGTTTGGTAAGACACTGTCTCGCGAGAGAACGGTACTGCGTTTTCATTGTTACTTCACATAACGTCATAAACATGATCGAATCGTATCGGCTGTTTGTTTAGATGTGTCTTACAGATATTATACACAACGTGTTATCATCTCATCCGACACTTCTGGGGCGCATGAAAGGAAATCTTGGGAATTATCGGTGTCCGGGGATCGTCAGACTAACTGGTCAAAAGAGTAAACCATTCATTGAAAGAAAGGGTGAGAATGGAATTTCGAGTGCGTTATCCTACAGCATTGCCGTTCAGACATAATCATAACATTTAACAATTGAAGCTATTCGGTCCACAGCGTTGTGTGGCGCCATACAAAATAAACTGAATTCTTCTCAGAATAACAAAATCTTTATTATTATTATATTTTTTTTTGATTGGGCACAATGCCAACTAAATTCATGTAAATTCAGAGGGGATTTGAAGGTCAGCCAAATATGGAACGGCGATTCTGAGTCGAAAGGGTTAAAAAATGTAATTGCCACAATATTTATATGTTCAATCGTATTAATAAATCTGATAAATATGATTTACTTTAGAAAAAATTAGGCTTAGAAGTTAAGTCGCTAGTTAAAAAAAATAATAAAATGATATGCTAAACTAGACTTAAATTTTTAAATTACCAAAACTGATGAGAACGGCAATTATTATTAAATCAGAGCTTAAGTATCGTTTCTTTTGGCTGAATATTCTTTACAAAAAAAATGTAGGTACCTATTCAATAAAGTAAAAACACGTATGTAAACCATACGTTTCAGTAAACAGTAAAGAAATGCTTCGTCATTTCCAAAGCTGGATAAGTTTCTATTAACTGTTAGTTAAATTAACTATTTTTAAATTAAGTTTCAAGTTAACGTTAAATCAAACGTTCAGTTAACTTAGTTATTAGTTAAAAGCTAATGTAAATTTAACGTCAGTCAAATCAGTTATTGGAGGAAGATTTAGTTTCATCCCGTTAATCGCAGAAAAATAAATAAGACTATTAAGTTAACCCAAAACTAAATAGGTAGTTAATTTGTGACTAAGGGAATTAGGTGAAACCTCTGGTGAGAAACCAAACGTTCGTCGTAACTTAACTCCAGCAAAACGTCGAATTAATTATTCAATAGAAAAAAAAAACAAAAAGTAAACAGTAAAAGGCCGACCACGACAAAAAGGAATTTTGTTCCCAAGTGTTGACTGGGAGCTACAAAACGGTTATTAAAGAGATTGTCCGTCTCACAGATGATAGTATATTATTATTATTATTATTATTATGTGGCGTGTGCACAGTGCAAGTGTAAAAATATAAAAGGCACTTAAAGTTATTAAGATTCTAATGGTAGGTACTCCCTGTTGGGTTGTCGCTATATTATATTGTAGATTTAATTGTCAATTTCGGTTTCCATCCGGTCTCATCCGTTAAATAATATAATAAGAAGCAACGCGAACGTCGACAAAATCTTGGATTAATTAAAACGGATACAAAATAATAATCATTGTAAAGTGCAGGTTGACGATTCGTAGAACTTATCTCGGCCATGTTTTACAATGTAAGCGTAAAAATTAATAATAACATATTATAATTTGTTCCCGGTAAAAGTGTTTTTAACGTTCATCAAATGAAACATTAATTTTCCCAAAACGAATTTCGCGAAAACGGTTTTCTAATTAAAACAACGTCGTTATAGTAGTGTATTTTTATATACCGAGTATAAAAAAAAAAAACATTTATTTTTATAATGTACCAACATTATATTTTTAAGTATTAATTATTACAATTGAGTCTAGAGAATGGACAAGTCGAACATCAACCATCGTGCATAACCTTAAAAATCCACTGATTTACAAAAGCGGTTCTCCGGATGTTTGCCGGCCATATAAAAATATACAATAACATGTCAACAGCTCTTTTCAATAATAATTATATTTTTAAGACAAACGAACGACGGCAATTACTGGCTTAGGGGTTAATTTTAATAATATTATTTTCCCACAAAATACACCCACCGGTAATTATATTATTAGGTGTCGGTTTAATTAATGTAAAAAAGTATTTTAGAATATAGGTAGTGATGTAATACAGAATACTCACATTGTTCTCAACCGCTACCTCGTTGCACGTACGGGGTTTTGACGACTAAAATGTTATTACTGCCAGGCCTTACAACACTAACACCGTAAAATCCTATCGCCAGCAAACATATAAATAGATAAAACTTATCCGGTAGATTATCAGCGATGGTCATCATCATCATAATAACGCGACCGAAACAGGTATTCGATCGGATCAATATTCTATATTATGTTTAAAGTGCCTACTATAATATGTGCGCTGGCACTATACACACAAGCTGATAACACGCCAGAAAAATAATAAGTTATATCTCTCATTCTTAACACCAATAATATATATAAAAAGTAATGCGAGTTGGAAAACAAAAAACAGCTTATAAACCCAAAAATATATAATCAATAAAACAGTTAAACAAAAGAACTCAAATTATTGGGATATTTCACCTAACTCATCTTATTTACGTTGTCTTATTGCGTTTAAATATGTTGATAACTATATTTACCGACAATTTAACGTTTGATATATGTTGTGTATAATATTACAACTATACTCTTTTGAAACTGCGGTTACCGTTAAAAAACCATTAGCAAATAATTTCTAAAAATGTAACCATGTTAATTAGTGTGCATATAAACGTAACTAACACTGATACTACTAGTATCATACTAGTATATATATTACAGTAGTAATATTATATACAACAGTAATTCATAGATAGATATAAAATTAAAATAGCAAAATCGTAAAACTAATTGACATAAGACTGAAATAATAAATATGATACAAAAATAATAACAATAACAATTAAAGCAACTTTTTTTTTAACATTGTAGTACAAATTATAAGTACAAAATATGTAAAAATAATATCATTCATAAATTATGAGAATTGAACAAAAAATAACACAAAGAACAAAATATAATACAAACAAAAATGTTAAATATAAAAAAAAAAATACTAACCAAAAAAGAAAAAAATAGTTAAAAATAAACTTTGTGAATTAATTATCAAAAATGTAACAATATAAGAACCTGTATTATGACATTATAAACAATATATGAAAATCAAAAAATGATTAATAAAATGTAAAAGTTTAGTAAACAAAAAAACAATAGTTTTATGGGAAAATTGAGTAAAAAAAAGTAATAGCAAAAAATGAAGAGGATAACAAATCTAAATATCATAATTAACAAATAAAAAACTATATAAGGGTAAGAAGAAAAATAGTCGAGAGAAACTAGCAAATTGAGAAAAAATATGAGAAACACGTCGGCTAAACGACCTTAGTCGTCGACCTACGGGTCTCTTACCCCGTTTCCACATCGACCCTGGACGGAAACTCTGGGAAGTTAAAGGCGCCTCTTCATACTCCTGGTCCGTCGCGTTAGGATCCAAGGTGCCAAGGTGGGACGGCTGACCTGATACTAACCCGTCCTGTTGTTTGAGAAGATATGAATCGGACCAAACCTTCCCTTGGGTCGTCGCCAAGGTCGATGTTTGAAAGCTCAGTCAATAGTCGTCCGCGGGTGACTTACACGTCGTCGTCAAAATCGAAAGTTGGAAGCTTTTCCAATGTAAAACAATCGTCCCAAATTCCCAAGTCGCCAGCAGTCGGTTCACCTGAAGTCCGAGGAACTTGGCCAGGTGAAGCTGACGTCAATTTCAATGTATTTAAACGGCGAAATTGTGCCAACGACGAAAAACACCGCAACCTAGTAGGCAACTCCATAAATTCTCTTACTATACCATTTGTGATAAGAGCATTTCTTCTAATACCCGTTATAGTAGTAAAACAAATGGGTTTATCCATTTTCTGTAGGTATATCGAACGCCTTGTTTGATACGTACAAAAAAGTAGTACAATAATCAATTTTTTACATTACAAATAAGTAAAATTTATGTTTTTCAATGCTTTCTTATGGGAAGAATAAATTGCGGTGTTGTTCACAGCTGGAGCGCCAAGTGTGTCATTTGCAAATGATTATTTAAATTATTGAAGCTGTCATTTTAGAATTATATTAAATTCTATGTTTATTCAGAAAAAAAAATAGAAAAATTAGGTTTATTTAAAAAAAATTTTAATACATCTCACAAAAAGTTAAAAAATATCATTGTATATTCAGCTTATAGTTATTTGTAGGAGTCCAAAAAAACCTGTACAGTTATCAAAATGTCGTCACTATAATATTATCAGTTACCAGAACGTTACTCTGTATATGTTACCATGTTTGTAAGTAAACATAAATTACATAACATCAAACCGACATTGACACAAAAATATTTAAAACAAATAAATATGAAATAAAAATCGCAAATATAATTGCACAAAGAAATGAATAAATATATTTTTATTAAACTAAAATAAAAAGAAAATATTTATATATATTTACAAAGTGTATAGAAAGAAAGGTACAAAGTTTGCAAACAATAAGTCAATTCGAAACATTTACAAAAAACAAAAGAAAACAAGAAAATTAATAACCAAACATTTTTTAAACCTAACAACCACCCCCCGTATTAGGTTAAACACAAAAATACAATAAACAACATAGTAACAAAATAAGTGATTAACAAAAAAACAAAACTTTGTATCCAGAATACATTGAAAAAAATAGAATAATAGTAAAAAATGAAGTGTATGACAAAAATTAAACATCACAATGAACAAATTTAAAACCGTTTACGGACGAGGAAAAAAACGTTTGAGAGGAACTGGCAAATCGAGAAGAAATATGAGAAACACTTCGGCTAAACGACCTGAGTCGTCGGCCTACGGCTCTCTTACCTCGTTTCCACATCGACCCTCGATGGGAACTCTGGCAAGTTTCGGGTGTCACTACAAACTTCTGAAGATACGACTCCCAAGCGTGGTCGCCATAATCAAAAGTTGGCAGCTCTTCCAATGTAAAACCATCGTCCCAAAGTCCCACGTCGCAAGGTGCCGGTTCATCCGAAGTCCGAGTAAATTGCTTAGGTAGAGCTGAAGTAAATTTGACTCGAGCTGTCGACACACCGCTGAACGGTAGTTTATCGAAGAGCCATTTCCTGACGGTTTCCCTTTCCATCCTCAGTACATCCGAAGCGGAAAGACCAGGAACGACGATCGATAACTTTTCAGGCATCTTGAATTATTTGTTTTTAACAAAATCTGACTGTAGCGTGTAGAGAAAACTGTGTAGAATGCAATGGTAGCAGGTAAATGACAATTAAACGTATTTAAACGGCGAAAATCGTAAAAAGTTGAGCAGTGATATCCGAGTAGCACCAACTTGAAACGACAAAAGCGAAAAACATCTTGTTGATCAAGGGTACCTAGACAACGGCCGATATAACTGGTCTTGACAACTAAATACATAATTACATAGAGTATTACCGACTATATTATCATAACGGTCGCTATGGATTAGTGAATATTGTTATAATAATTTTTCTAATTGTTACACAATATATACAAGGCGATATGTTTAATCGAAGCTAAAAACCATTTTTATATAATATAGAAATACGTTTTTCTTTAATTCTTCATATTATGGAAAGGGCTTATTTTTAAATATTGAAATTAATTTAAATAATAGCATTTTTTAGACACCGAAAGTTATGTAATAAAAAATGTTTGTATCTTTAAAGACACAACGGCAAGTTAAGAGTTAAAAATATATCGAACCTCGTGTTTTCATAGCCTATTTTGGGGTGCCTCGGTGAACATGAAAAGTGATGTGTTTACAGCTGGCTTTGGTCGGAGCTTTGGTGTCTTACACTGTTCGTATCCGAATGTGTATACTGTCAGTAGAAGAATAATTGTTCGTGTCTTTAATAAAAATGTCCAATTGTTTAACAACATTCAATGTTTCACTCGTGTAAATCGTAACGAACTAGGTTTAATTGTATTGTATACGTTTTAAAATAATTAACCGAGGCCATGGACGTTTTTCATTATTATTGACGTAGGTTGTAAGTTTGATTGATTGGGCGTGTATAGTAAGTATGTATGTTCGTTAGACCGTAAACACTCGTGAGAACATATTTTATAAAGTTTGCATTGTACTCGCGACGACTTGCATGCGTACGGTGTCATAATAATTTTTTTCCAATCGGGTCCTCCTAATTGTAACAAATATTTAAGTATGGTACACACACTATATTGTAACAATCACAATGTTCGTGCATTGTTGGATTTATTTCACCGCTTGTACACGTTTCTATTCGCGACTGTCGAGCACAGTATTTTGCAACCGCTCTACGGGTGTCACCGTATACACACACGCGTATAACAAACAAACAAAAAATGAACCTAAAAAAAAAAAGTCTCATGGTACTACGCCGACAACAAAAACCGTGTGTTCACTTGCCGGAAAGTCGACTTTTGGCCATTTCGAGTGCATTAGCCTTAGCTCTCTCTCGTGACAAACCCCATCACAGCCGATGTTTTTGTCCCTCGGTTTAACCAACCGGTAGATTATTGTGCACGCATCAATACAGGCCCTCCGGGTTCGTGCTCGCTGTTGCCAAAATAAATTGATAACCGACTCAATGGCGTACAGCAGGGGCGCGCGCCCAGAACAATGAATATCGTCGAAACGGCCGGCTAATAAAATTCTTATTATTATTATTATTATCATTACTACTGTGTGTGGTAGATTACGGTGTGTCTTTTCATATTTTTGTGTTTCTTTTGTAATTATTTTCCAATTACTTTATTGTTATTATTATGTATTACCGAAAAAAAAAAAAAAAATCAGACGAAACGACTTAAAAAAAAGCTATTTGTCATTCGCGTTTTGCCCACAGTACATAATATGTATATCCTTATCTAAAGTATTATACAACCTGCTACCGGTAGATAATACGAGCATAACCTGCTGTTCTGAACAAAATAATATTATAATGTTTAAACGTTACATTCGCTGTATAAACTTCATATAAATGTCATGCTGAGACGACAGTATAAGAGTAGTTATCATATTTTAGAATTATGATAACCAAAAGAGTACCAATGAACGTTTAAAAAAAAAAAAAAAGAGTTTTGAATCATATTTTGCTTTCCTGTACAATTTTATACAATTCTACCGTTTTTTTTTTAGAAATGACCAGAACGAGAAATAAATCAATTGTATCTTTTTTATGTTCTTAC